GAACTCCAGTGTTGAAATGTCATGTGCTGTGATTTTTTTTTTTCTGTTGCTTTTTTTGTTTGTTTGTTTTTTAAACAGGGTCTCACTATGTACCTCTGGCTGTCCTAGAACTCACTGTGTAGACTAAGCTGGCCTCAAACTAAGCCTCCCTAAAGTGCTGGGATAAAAGGCATATGTTAACAAACATGTCCAGCATGTGCTGGTTTTCTTTGATGTTTGCTCTTCTTCCCTAAGTCTTTCTTACACACGTGTCCATGTTGCCCTGAGAACTACTTAGGTTTCATACCTGTGTGAACCCATAGAGGATGCTACAATTGACAGAAAGTGTTCGTGTTTGTGTGGGATGAGTCCTGCTGATACCTGAGGGAATCCTGGCAGTTCCCCACCCACTGCTCCTTTCTTAGGGAGCTCTCTCTGCATGTGTAGTCTGCCCTGAGGTTGTCTGTCACCCAGTTGTGCTTAAAGCTACAATAAGGAGGGGTGGGACCATTAGCAGAGAGCTGGACTTGGCAATGAGTGTAGGCCCAAATGTTTCCACACACACACAAAAAAGAGAAATGATCCCTCAAAGCCAAATAAGCTGAATGCTAACCCCTTTGATTATAGAATAGGTCCACATGGGAATCCATTCACATCCCCTGTGGGAAATGTGTTTGCAGGATCCTTTAGTAAGGCCTGGCCCATGTTTCAGTCACTTTTGCTTTAACTTCTTGCATTTTACAAGTCACTGCACTGTTGTAAGGGAGAGCTGCTTGTTCATTCCAGCTGCCCGGCTAGCTTAGCCCTGAAATAATCACACAGAAATTGTATTAATTAAATCACTGCTTGGCCCATTAGTTCTAGCCTCCTACTGGCTAACTCTCACATCTTAATTTAAGACATTTCTATTAATCTGTGTATCACCACATGGCAGTGGCTTACCGGGAAAGATTCTAACCAGTGTCCATCTCAGGCGGAGGATCCATGGCTTCTCTCTGACTCTGCTTTCTTCCTCCCAGAATTCAGTTATGTCTTCTCCACTTACCTTAGTTCTGCCCTTTCAACTAGGCCAAGAGAGTTTCTTTATTCATTAACCAATCAAAGCAACATATAGACAGAAGGAACTCCTACACCACTGCACCACAACAGTGTTCATCAGGCCTCTCTAGGAGAGGGCTTCCTTGCACTTTGTCAAATCATTGCCTCTGTTTTGCTCTTCTTCCCAAAGAATGTGTGCTAGAATACTTCCCAGGGTAGCAGGGGCTTGTCAGGTCACACTAAAAACAGTGTGGCTCAATCTGTTCCACTGCTGGCTCTGCTATTCTCTTTCTAAGACATATTAAATTGCCATATAATCAAGAAATCATGGACACTAACACCAGTAATTTCATCTGAATGAGACACAAGTTGGGCATGTAATGATATGTAATTTTTGAATTCCAAATATACTTCAAAAAATATTAAAGTTACAGCACACAATAAATGCCTTTGCAGGCAAAGGCTCTCAGCAAGTGGACTAATGAGTGTGTGTACTTGGAAGGAAAGACATCTGCAGGACAGGTGCACAAGAGAGACATGCTTGGCCAGCATTTCACTTCCAGAGCTGCCTTGTATCATGAAAGAATGAGTGCAGGCCAGGTATGGTGGCATACACCTTTAATTCCAGCTTGAAAGGCTCTGAGCTCTTTGAGCTGAAAGTCAGCAGGAGTTATAAAATGAGATCCTGCATCCAAAAAAAAAAAAAGTGAATTCACCAGGTCCTGCAGCCCCTCCTGTGTCCCTTGATACTGAAGAGTAGAAGACTGCCCATGTTTGTTAAACACGGAGTTTGGTGAATCAAATCCTTTATTGCTTTGGAATGGGATTTTTCTCATTTCCTAAAGACAGATGGTGGGCACAAGTGGAGGGAACTCATCATTAGCTGGTCCAGAGAGCATCTGGCTTACCCAGAAGGTGGAAGAGAAAATTGTAATGTGACTCTTGCCTGTATAACAATAAATAAAAGGGGGCAGGGATGTACTGGCCCAGCAAGAAGCAATCAGCTGAGTGAGGACTCTGAGGGCTACTAGGCAGCTCTAAGAAGTAAAAGTGGCTTGTGACTATCAGCTATCGAGTACAAAGGCTCACAGAAGGGGAAATGAAACACTGTTGGGTAACATGTAATAAGAGGGTTTTTCATGCTTCACCTGCTCCTGCTATTTTTAGTGAAAGTATAAAGCTGTACATGCAGTATGGGAAATGCAAACCCTACACAAGGTGGTGATATGCAGAGGGAGAATGCTAAGGTGTAACATGACTGCTTCTGAGATGTGAAGGCAACATGCACTGGAAGATAGTGATTGTATGATTTTTATGTCCTGAAAACTACATTGATTGTGCCCCATTGCAGTCAGAGGCCTCTCCTCCACCCACATGTAGCCTGCCTAGCTTCTTTCTCTCTTCTTCATAAGTGGAGGCTGGGATGTGGACCCTTACCTTCTTATCCAAATCAGCAGTCTACCCTACTCTGGGCCAGAGGGTGCAGGTACATGCTCCACAAGGATGCTCCAGTGTTGCACCTAGGAAGAACTTCACTGCTTCTGAGGAGCTCTAACTAGATGTGGGACCTCTTTTTTTTTTTTCCTTCTTTTTTTTTCTATTCTTTGAGACCAGAGGCTCACATTGTTCTCAAGCTGGTCTAAAACTCAATATGTAATCCTGGGGGTGCTGAAATTAATATATGGGAGCCACCATTCCCAGATTAAAAGGACTGCTTTTTGGAAGCAGTTTATAGATACTCTGTGTCCTAGCTACTTTTTTTAAATGTATGGAAAAAAACAAAAACAGCCAACATTTGACCTTTAAAATACATATATATGACAGTGAAGTTATGTGCCTTTAATTCCAGCACTTGGAAGCATCAGCAGGAGGATCTCTTGAGTTTGAAGCTAGAATGAGTTCTAGGATGGCCAGGGCTACTCAGAGAAACCCTGAATCAAAACTAGAAAAAGAAAAAAAGTAGCCAAGCACGTCACTCTTATGATCCCAGCAAAGGAGAGATGAAGATCACAAGCTCAGAGTCAGCCTGTACCACATATTGAGTGAGACTCTGTCTAAAACAAAACAGCTGACAAGATGGGTTAGTTGGTAAGAGTTCTGAAAGTCCAGATGGTAGAAGAAGAGAACCAGCTTCCATAACTTGTCCCTTGACCTCCACAGGGCCACCACTGCAATTGTATACAAACACAAAATAAATGTGATTTATAAAAAGGTGGATTTTTATTTATTTTTAATTTTTTTTTAGGGGGGGGGTTTCGAGACAGGGTTTCTCTGTAGCTTTGAAACCTGTCCGGGAACTAGCTCTTGTAGACCAGGTTGGCCTTGAACTCACAGAGATCCGCCTGCCTCTGCCTCCCAGTGCTGGGATTAAAGGCCTGCTACCACCACCTGGCTGGATTTTTCTTTAAAAAGGGTGTGGTGCACACCTTTAATCCAATACTCAAGAGGCAGAGGCAGGCAGATCTCTTGAGTTTATGACCAGCCTGGTCTACATAGTGAGTTAGAGGCCAGCCAAGGCTACAGAATGCAACCCTGTTTCCAAAACCAAAACATAACAACAACAAAAAAATAATAAGATAAAAGGTATGAAAGCATTTTTAGCATTGCCCCAAGACTTCAAAAAAGCATTCTGCTTATCAGTCTCATTCTTTTGTAAATGTCTCTAGAGACATACTGAAGTGTCTCACGGCTCTTCACTGGGATGGTGCATCTACATTTGGCCCTAGAAAAGACAGGTCCATGTTGCTTGGTAGAGTGGCAGGCCCAAGCATCCACTCTGCGGTCATCCGGAGTGTCCCAAGGAAAAAACATTGTAAAGTGCATTTAGCAGATTATTGATAAAAGCAGCTGACATTGCAAGCTTTGAAGTTGTTTTCTGGTACCTGAAAGTTTTTATGCTTCCCCTCCCCCATAGACATTACGTAGAGAGGGGCATAATCTGGTTTCTTTTTTTGTTGTGAGACAGGCCCTCACAGTGTAGTCTAGGCTGGCTTCAAACTTTTGGTTATACTCTTGCCTCAGTCCCAACCCCTTCCCAGAGACAAGATTTCTTTGTGTAGCCCTGGCTATCGTGAAACTCAGTTTGTAGATCATCTGTCTAAGAATATCTAGCACTGAGCAAGAGCATCATGGGACCCTGCCTTTGGAGTCCTGCCAGCTCCATTTCTTTACTCTGAGGATGTTCATTCCTGTCTGTTGACTAACCTCAGACAGAACTGTACAAAGTAGTGCTTTGAGGTATGGTGGCTAGATTGTGTGTGCACAGGTAAACATACCTGTGGGAAAAACTTTGGTGGCTGGACAGTTAAATGACACATTCTGAAAAGGGCCTTTCTGAATAGAGCATGGAACAAAGATGTAAAAACCCCTATGAATGTCATCATCCTCACTTCTGTGCTGTCAAGGCTGAGTGGCCCTAATTCATCTTCACCTTGTAAACCAGGTTGCATCTGTATCCTGGTTGGTCCGTTTGACAGTAGCCCAGGTGTGAGCCCAGTGTCTCCAGCCTGGGATACAGTTCCTCTAAACCAAGAACACTTTTTGCTATACTGTGCATTAAGTGTGTGCTGTTACTGGCTTTTGTTTTTTCAGCTTTATAAGTACTGCTAAAAGCCATGGTAACTGAGGACAGTCCTGTGACTGTGATCACCAGCCCATATAGTTCAGACGAGTAGCCACATTCTTCCTCCTCCCTAATTCACTGGCTTTGGGCTTAGGCATGAGCAAGCTTGTCTGAAAATTGAGTACAGACACTTGAGTTCTAGCCTCAGGAACAGATACTTTGTTTAAGTCAAATTGCATTACAATTGCAGTGCAAGTCTGTGGGGTACCTCAACTCCACCGAGAACTGATTGCCTGGTCATCACTTCTTTTCAGTAAGAACTCAGGATCTTTTCTTGGTCAGGGTGACCAGACTGACATTAAGTCCTATTTGTCTCTACACTGTGCTTCAGATCCTCACTTTTGACTTTCCCTTCCTCTCCAGAAAGGACCTGAGTGTGAAATACCCTGGAGACCTCCCCATCACCCTTCCAAACCTGCTGAGGTTCATTCTGCATCACTCAGACCCTGCCTCTGCCCCTCAGGACCTTGGCATCAGCCCTCCTACCCAAGAATGTGTCCAGAACAAGGCAGTCCTGCAGCGTGAACACATCTCTCACGTGGAGAGTGCCATGCAGAAGCTAAGATCTGAGATGAGCAGCCTACGCCGTACACAGGAGAAGGTGGAGGGTCGGCTCTTTAGTGCCCGCAGGGATGGACACCGCCTGTTACGCCGGCAGCGTGCTTTAGAGCAACAGCACAGATTGCTCCGTCGCCACAGCCAGAAACTGCAGGCTCTGTATGTGCAGAAGGCCCGTGAGCTCCAAGAGCTGGCCAGTGCCTCAGAGACCGCACTCCCTGAGCACACATGGCTCAAAATCCTTGTAGCCACTATGGAGAAGGAGCTGGAAGGCCAAGGTGGAGCTAAGGAACCAGCCCCTCTGGAAAAGGCTCACCCCAGCCACTCTAAGCCCAAGGGTGCTACCCAGTTACCTGGTGACACCCTTCCACCTTCTGCCACCAGCTCCACTCTGACATCAGAGAGGAAGCATGAGAACAGGACAGATTAACTTTTCAAAGAAATGAAGAAATCAGAGGTGAAAACTGTACATTGGGAATATATTTATGCAAATTTTATTGAAATTTATTGTAAATAAAGATTTTCTCAGTGGTCTAGAAAATGAACTTGAATGTCATTCAGCATTTATTGATCAGGAATGGCATCCCTTCCACTTATTGCACAAACTTGGTAGCTTTGAGACACAACAGTAGCACAGTCCATTTGAAGATTAATCTGGGAAAGTCAGTCCTTGCTTCAGTGGCTGAGCCTCGGTGTTCTTGCCTGCTCCCCAGGATGAAAGGCTAACTAACTTCTTACTCATCAGAAGACTTCCCCACAAAGGTTTGCACGATTGAGAAAGAATCTGAAGAGAGGGTTGTAACTTATTAACCATTGGAGTGTAAAATAAAAAGATAGCCAGTTATAAACAAGGACAGGGAAGACTATTGTGTGGTTGTTCACTAGTTCAATAGGTGTTTCATTTTTCTCCCTAAGACTTCTACCAGTGCCCCACAGTGTCTGAACTTATTCAGACAACTCTCGATGGGTTGACTAAAATGCCAAAGACATCCCTGGCAACTGGGGAGGAGACAGGAAGCTCCCAACAAGTATAACTGATAAGAATGTGATGTCTAAAAAAAGAGAAACGTCATTGGCATAGCAAAAGATGCAGTCTGTGTCTGACAGTGGAGTGACTTGAGCATTTCCAGGAGCCAGGCTCACACTGAAAGTGTAGATCCAAGCTGTTCTCGGGTCAGTGTGCAGTGGAGCTAAAGGATCAGCAGTGTATAGGCCGCTGCTGTAAGAATTAGAGGTAGAAAGCTGGAAGTGGGATGGGGATGGGCCAAAACCCTCAGCCTCTGCCAGCTCCAGGGCAGAGCCTTTCATACATTCTGTCCTCCTCCTGGACCCGAAGAGTCATTGCTGCCAGGTCCAACATGCATCCAAGCCAGCCTAAGCAGCCTCTGCCGATGTCCAGTCTACCCCTTACTACGTCTTCCATGACTTAGCTTTCTCACCAGGGTCCAAGAGTTAACCTACTGCAGCAGCCCACCATACGTGTCTTATTCCTACCCTCTAAATGGCCTTAGAGCTATCTCTCCTCACCTAGAGCTGTTACTTAACATCTGACACACACACACACACACACACACACACACACACCATGTGTAGATATATACTACTAAAAAGTGTTCCCTACAGCTCTTTCCTTGGGGTTTAGAGAATGGATTAGTTTCACATGCTTTTTAAAGCTGTCTCCAGCCTGAAGTTCTCTGCTTCCTGCCCATGCTGCTCTCAAGTGTGCTGTCCAAGCCAGGGCCAACCACCTAGTCATTATCAAGGGTGCCCACACACTCGTGTTTTAATCAGAATGGTTTAGAATGTACTTATAGTGGTGGGATTAACATCCAAACAAGCTTACAGGCAAAAGATATCTCGGAGACACATGCTGCTGGCTCCCTTTCCTGTGAGAGCCAGGCTGTGAATCTGAACTCCTGGTGGCTCTGTTGTAAATACTTATGTGCACACTAGAAATGATCTTCTACAGCACACAGGCGCCTTTAGAGCTGGGGCAGGGGCTCTGTACAAAGCTCCAAGGACTAAAGTGAAACCCAATACTCAGCCAGTGGGCAGTCATTGGAGAGGAAAGGAAGCTCACTTGTGAAAAGATAGGAGGAAAAAAAATTCATCCCCTACCCCACCCCCACTCCAGTGCAGAAAATATTAAATATAAAAACAAAACCTTGCTTGCTTGGGCTGACTAGGTTTCAGACTTCGAGTAGCCGCCACAGGCTCTGGTGTTTCTGCAAGGCCTGTGCTGAAGGGATGTACTGGGCATGCTCAAGACCAAAGGGCAAGATACTGCTCCGCTAAGCTGCCTGGCAGCCCTCAGGACTCAGAGACTTGTCCATCATAGGCTTCAAAACAAGTACAGCAGCTTCCTTGCAGTGACTGCCATCTGCACGCACTGAACCTCTCCAAAAGGAGAGGTGTGGTTTTTCTTCTACTCATTACTAACCAAGCAGAAATCACCCAAGCACCCCAGCTGCTTAGCCTTTCACTTCCTTTCCATACACATGATCAGACCTCAGTGAGACCTGCCAAGGGCAATTGGGGCCTGACCAGTCAAAGACCCTCCATGGTCATGCTGCCGCAGCTCACCACGAGTACAGTCATCAAGCCAGTCCCATGGGATCTATGTGGTAATTTTAAAAATCAGCAAAAAGGCTTAAGCACGTGCTTCTGGGCCTATTTACAGTTCACAGGTTGGTTAGTTCACGCATTACAGTAGTAGCTCCATCAAAACAGGCTCAGCTAAAACATTCAAGTAACAAAAGCGCTAAGGGGCCATGAGCCCCAGCAAGGTCAGGCCTGCCCACTGCCTGCAATGGGCAGCCCCACCAGGAGGCTGAGGGGGAATGCCAGGACAGCCGGGACCCGCAAGTCAGTGCATGCGATGATGAAGCCCGAAGAGACCATGCCGGCAAGTGTCAACCTCTCTCACACAGCATCCGTCATGTCTGCTTCGGCCCTCTTAGTGCTTCTGGGCTGGCTGCAAATGGAACCAGGGCCTTCGCAGCCCAGCTCAGCCATGCACTTCTGGGCCATTGGCGGTCATCAACTTGGTCTTTCTTTCCACACATGGCCCCTTGGCAGAGTACTGCACTAGGAGAAAGGGCTCCTTTGTCTCGCCATCACCCACGATGCTCTCCTCATCCTCCGACTGGCTGATGCGCTGCAGCCGCAGGTAGCACCAGCAGCCCAGGATCAAGGCCCCCAGGGCAGCAATGGCGATGAGGATGACAATGACCGTGACCACCCCCGTAGTGGGGCTGTGGTCCATGATAGACATGGTCAGTACTTGGAAGGGCTCTTCTGGTGGAAAGTTCTTGGTGTGGCTGGCTCAACGAGGCTGGAATTTGGGCTGCACAGTACAATCCTGAAAGACAAAGCCAGGAAAGACTATACCAGGAGCTCGGTAGGGAACTCGGCCACCCAGGTGGCCCTTGCTGGGGTCTGTTTTTAAGTTCTTGAGCTCAACCCATCAGGCACTCAACCCAGTGATAAGCATGGGGTTGCCTTTCGACAGTCTGCCCAGATGCTCACCCACCCTACTTCCCCCAACTACTTCTGACAACCAGGTGTTTCCACTAGCAGTAAGTCACTCTGATGGGAAGGGAAACGGACACCATGACAGTTGAGTCAGAGTCTGCAAAAGGACTGGTCACTAATCTGGCTTTTCTGTTGAAGGCATACGTTGTTTTTTGTTTGTCTTTAAGAAAGTCTCACTCTGTAGCCCAGGCTATCTCAAACTTAGGATTCTCTGGCTTTTGCCTTCAGAGCCTTAGGATCACAGGCCTGTACTACCACACCTAGCTGGAGGTGGGCACTCTAGAAGCTAGCACCAGTATGTGTCCGGGAAGCTAGAGAGGATGGGTCCAAAAGTAGAGAAACAGCCTCAGCTCCTGCAGGGGTGGCGGGATGGTCACGTAACACATAATGTCTCAACCTTCAAGGTCTCCAGGGTCTGAGCTTCTTGGACCCAGGTGAGAGGTCACAACAGCCAACAGCTTTTGCCCTAGGGAGCCACAGCTGATCTGTGAAGACCCTGGTTCTCAGGAAGCCCATGGATATAGGGTAGGCAAGCAAAAGTAAAGGAAGTCCTGGAAGACGTGGGTGCTGGGGAAAGCTTCAGGGAAGGCAGGGGGGGGGGGTGCAGTAGCTGGCTCCGGACTGTACATAACTTGGCATCTAGCACAGGAGCCAAATCACCAAGAGGTCAGCACCCCCAAATGTCTGTCCATGTATGGTGACATCAGATGCACAGGGACCAGGTGCTGGGATGTGAACTGGATGGGTGGGTGAGCTTCAGGGAGGCCACACTGGCAGGACAGGGCATTCACGGTAGAGGGACAGTACTGCTAGGGTCGGAAGGCAAGAGGGAGAGCCACCTGGGTTCTCCACGTCACAGAGCCCAGTCTCGTCTGTAGACAAGGTTTCAAGTGGCAAAGGAGAAAGAGGCAGTGGGATACAAGGCAGAATCTGCCCCAGTCTCCCTCTCAAACCTCCAGGACTTACTCTATGGGGTACCCCAAAGCCCAGCCCGCCACCACCTCCCAGGATCAGGGCTTTGCTACCATGGCCTTCCAGCTACTGAATGCAGCAGACTGTTCCAGTGTCTCAGGGTTCCCCACTTTCTTACTAATGCCAATCAGTAATGGACATCAGTGTGGTTCCAGGAATGCAGATGCCAGGAGTGTCTGCACAGGCCAGGCACAACCTACACTGAGTAAGACCTGAATGTTCAAAGTCTTCCCATACGTGTGCTCAGGTAGACAGTGCAGGAAGGTTCTCCCTCCAAACAGGATGGGACTTGCTGCAACCTTGAGCAATAATCCCTTTAATTAGAAATGACTCTCACTCAACCAAGGAGGCCGCCAGGAGTCAGGTCCGCCTGAAGGTCACAGGCAGTCAAATCAATGCCCCAGAGTGCCCAGGAACCAGGCCCTGTGACCAAAGAGTGCCACCCTCATCACCTGTGCCGACTCTACAGCAAAGCTCCAGGCAGGTAGGGGCAGCACCCTTGGAACTCTTAACCTTGTGGTCTCCTGAGTCTGAGCTGTGGGGGTCCCACTTAGCTGGCTCCCTGTCCACTCTTGCAATCAGAGCACACAGGACGTGCCCAAGTACTTATAGTGACTGACAGTGTCCCCATTCCTGCTCAGAGCTCCCCAGCCTTGTGCCCTCCAGTATCTCCCAGAGCCCAGTTCCTTCTGCCCAGGGTGATCCATTCCCTGACTTTTGATCACTAAGTCTCAACTGGGGGCAACCGTGCACCAGACCACACCTGGTAGGCAGAGTCCAGCGATTCTGCTTAGCGCTCTTTAAGGTAGAGGACAGTTCCCAAAACCTCAGTGAAGAACACCCTGGCCCCAAATGGCACCCACATGGAGGTGGAGAAAGAAACTCTGACTTAGTTTACACCAACTCCAGGAAAGAAGCCTCTCCAACCAGAAGCCAGGGAAGCTCCTTCCCCTGGCATGGCGACCTAGCTCCTGGCCTTCCCTCATCTCCAGAGCGCCATGTCCCAAGAGTGCTCTGCTTGCTCCTTAGCCTGGCACCTACCCTGTCAACATCAGTTCCCCCCGCCCACGCAGCCAGACCACACAGGACACCCATGGTTCTGCCTTCACCTGCCTTTCCTCCCGTTGTCTTCTGGACAGGAAGGGGAAGTGTGTGTTTGGGGTCTGGGGTGGTTTTGGGATAGCAAGTGGAAAATCAAACAATGGTACTGTGGTCTGAGGGAAACAGCTGTCCTGGGATTAATGAGGAAACTGAGGCCAAGCAGCTCCAGCCCAGAGAGACCCCAGGAGAGCAAGGACGACCTCAAACTCCTGTGTATGCCTGCCCCAGGCCTGGAGGTGGACAGTCAGGTATATGGCTCTGACCTCTGAGCATAAAGACTTGTGACCCAGCTGGCCATGCTTGGCCTGTGGCCTCCCCCTAGCCCTGATGGGCCTCTTTCTTTTTTCATTTACCAAATGTTTCCTGAGAAGTAATCCCAAACCTGTCACGGTGGCCTCAGAAAGGGGGGACTCTTAAGGTTGCCTCACCCTCTGCTGAAAGTGTGACTACCTACCACCCATGCATCCTAAACTGTCCTGCAGCTGCCTCCTCCCTTAGTACTGGACTGGGAACTTTTCCAGAGGTGACTCTTGGGGCTGCTTCCAGGACTCCAGATGTTGCCTCTTCCCACACGGCCCAGCCTGCACCCCCTGCACCCCAGTCTTATCTCAGCTCTCTGCTATCATTTCCTGGTTTAGGGATTATTTCCCTGGCTGTTACTTCCTGGCCTGTGGCCTTTAGAGAGTCTAAGAAAAGGTTACTGCCCCTCGTGTTCACAGTCATGCTCCACTGTGGATGACACGTGACACACAGTGGGAACTCAGGAAAGGCTAGCTGCGTGGTTCCAGACCTGGGTACCTGGTGATGAGCTAAGAGACCTGGCTGTCCTGGGGACCAATCAGAACACACTAGTCCAGTCCGAGCCAACTCCCAGGTTCCTAAGCACAGGTCCCCATGCTGCCAACAGTCTTTGAGAAAAGAGGATATAAGCCAAGTTCAGGCAGGGGCAAGGCATGCCAGTGGTGCCTAACAGGTCTGAGCCCAAACAAAAATAGCTAACTTAGTGGTTCTCAACCTTCCCAATGCTGTGATCCTTTAATACAGTTCCTCATGTTGTGGGGATAACAACCATAAAACTTTTTTTGTCGCTACTTCAAAACTTAAGTTTGCCATTGTTATGGATTGTAATGTGAATATGGGTTTTCCTGTGGGCTTAGGTGATCCCCATGGAAGGGTCATTCGAACCCCAAGAGTCACGACCTACAAGTTAAGAACCACCAGGCAAACTGTCCATGCTTGGGGCAGAGAAGGGCAGCAGCAGAAAAGCAGAGTCCAGAGGAAGCTGGGACACCCTGCAACTGGCTAGTACAGCCCTCTGCACACCACTGACCACTTCATCCACCGAGGCCCGTGGGTCTGGGCATAACACAGTCCAGTTGAGGACAATCCCAGGGCTACCTCAGAGCCATCACACCCCAATCCACCTCATCTCCTCTTTACTTGCCTTGATCATCCTATTCTGCAGATGCGGAAACTGAGGCCCATCTAGAGCACAGGTCATACCACAGACCATGTCCCTTGTTGGAAGCAACAGCAGTGAGCACTGGACAGACGGCCAGGGGCACTCCACAGCCACCCCAGTCTGCAATGCTTGCGAATTGCTGAGTCCAGTTTCTCAGACCCAGAGCACACGGGTCTCAACACAGTGCACTCTGGGCAGGGGTCTCCTGAAATTCAGACTCTCCTCTAGATCTTCCTCGGTGAGGGTCTCTGTTACCCTTACCTCCTCTTCATGGGATCCCCAAAATCACCCTTCACCCCATCATTCATGCTCAACCCAGAGGGTACACCCTCTCTACCCCACAGACTGTTCTCAATGACCTCCCTTTCCTCCTGTGACCCTTGCACCCCAAAGCACAGAGTCTGGCCTGGACCCAATGTCACATGACCTCTTCTCTGGGGACACCCACGGCCTGCTCCTCACTTAACTGTGCACATCACGAGTGCAGCTGAACTCAGCTCTGCCACCTCACCTTAAGCCTCCACCTCCTGGGGCACTCCAAGGGAGCCAGAAACACTGCCTTGTTTTTATGGCCAGCTAAAAATTTTTAATGTTTTTAATGCTTAGGAGCTTCCAGCACTGTCCTACCCTCCAACAAAGCCACCTGCCAAGTATCCTCCTTGGGGACCCCAGGCCAGAAGTATTTCCATCGTCAGGTTCTGTTCTGCCATACTCCAACAGGCACCGCCACGGAGGGCTTCTGCCGTCCAAGAGCTTAGATAAGGGTAACAGCATCCGAAGGAGAGCTAACATCCAGCATGGCTGTGTCTACTGGCCCCCCCCCCACCCGTCCCTCCATTCTAGAAGAGAAAGCTGCTCCAGGAGCCATCTCACTGCCAGATCTCATGGCAGAAGAGGAAGCTAGGACTGAGAAGTTTGGGGACTGCCCCAAGGTCAGCTGCGGTCTCACAGTCCAGGCCTGAGTCCTGGCCCTCCTGTGTCGCACTCTTCAGGATCCCATTTGGTCATACAACTTTGGGAGTGATATAACAGTAGATCCTGAAAAAGTTCCTTGGTGTCGAACTCTTGAGCTCAACATCTCAGTAGATCTCCCCAAAATTTCTGCCTCAAAACAATCCTAGAGTCGAGGTATTAATTCTTCCCACTTCATAAATAAATATAGCTTAGAGAAGTTAAGTCAGCAGCCCAAGGTCACACATCTTAAAAGTGGATCTGCGGTTATTCAATCCTGGCAGTCTGGATCCTAAATTAACGATTTCAAACCTGATTCTAAAACGTCATCTACCTGACCTGTCTCTCTTCTGGAGGCCAAGGGCACTGAATCGGTGTCTGACCCCTTCCTAGGAGCTAGTCTAGGTGACCTGGGCCGAGGACTAGGCACTGATGGCAAGCGCCCCAGCAGCTCCCGCGTGCAAAGCGCGGGCGGCGTGCAGGCGCTGTGCCAGGCGACGCCGAGTCTCCCCCACTCTACAGAAGGAGCAAGGCAAAGCGTGAGGGAAGCAGGGGCCCGTTCAGGGGGCGACAGCTGCGAAAGAAACGACAGCTGAAGAGAAAAATCAAGTCCTCCTGACCCGGATTTTCTTTTTGCGAGGGGGGGGGGGCGGGGGGGGGCGAAGAGGACCAGGACGGACCAGCCCACACCGCGCAGCCAGCCGGATCGGGAACAAACGCTGCGGCTCGGCCTCAGTTTCCCCACCGAAGAAACGGACGCCAGATGTTCCTTGGGCTCCCATCCCCCTTGATCCCATCTTGACCACGCTGGGACGCTGCCAGGAATCCTGTCGGTGCTGAGAGTGAGTGTTCGGGGCAGCCCAGAGGATCCGCGCAGGGCGCAGAACCGCGGGTCGCCGAGAGGGACTGACGCCCCGCCGAGCAGCCTCCGCCCCCCACCACCTCCTTTGTCCCAATCACACCGCCGAGGACAAAGAGCCCCCGCCCGCGCACGGCGTCTGCGGCGCCGACCCGCCAGCGCCGCACCCCGGCTCATCCGGCGCATCCCTTCCCCCTTATCCGGCCGCCCTGCCTGGTCCTGCTCACCATGTCGCGGCCCGTAGTCCGGCACGATCCGCCAGCTGCAGCCTCGCCGCCCGGCTCCGCCCGCACACAAGCCGGGTCGGGCCGCCGCGCACTAGCCAGACGCCAGAGCCAGATCTGCGGCGGGCGGGGTGCTTCGGCTCCGCCCAGGCCGGGGGCGGGATGCTCCGATACGGCCAACGGGAGATTGCGCTGGGACGACGGGGCGGGGCGGGGCGGGACGGGAGAGGTGGAGTCACACGCATTGGGGGTGGGGCGCGGTGCGTGGGTTTGGGGTAAGCGGGTTGGGAGCTTTAGCCGCGAAGTGGGTGAGGGAGGATGCTGGGCGGCTAGCGGGTCCGGGAGCTGGGGCGGGCGGTGGGCGGCTGGACTTCCGTGTGCGCCTTTTTGGGTGCCGGCGGTACTGGCCTGCTCCTGACGTCCTCTTTCTGTGAGGGTAGTCCCAGCACAATGACAGAAGGGAAACTGAGGCACGCAACAGGTGTGAGTGGCACACAGCCCCAAAGTTGCAGGCACGGGCAGAGTTGAGTGACTGCTTTGGAAAGGAGCTGGCCGTTCTTTTTTGGTTAATTTCATCATCATCTAGCTATATCCCACCATCCACCCACCTATCTGCACGGATCACGTATCTTGCTGAGCCACAAGTCAGCCACAACCCAGACAAACAAGGTCCCTGCCCCCAGAGCTGCGGACTGGGATGCGTTATTTTAACATAATCTCTTAGTTAAGACTTCACCAAGTACCATTCTCTGTTCAGCCTGCTCAACAAATCAAAATAACCCCAAATAAAAATGTATCATCCCATTTGACTTTAGGAACCCAATGCTACCCCTGTGCTCTCACAGAGGTAGGATGTGAGGCTAGACAATGGCTAGGAACACAGAGATGGTAATTGGTGTGATGACTGCCCCCAAGAAGAGAGTCCAGGAAGAGAAAGGACATTCCATGGTGGCCACCTGGAACTCCCAAGAGGCTCAAGACCTTTGAGGCCCAAGGTACTCCGGAAGATAGGAAGGGACAACTTGGTTGGGCTAACTTCCTCTATCTCCTGAGCGCTGGGATTAAAGGCATGCACCACCACCACCTGGCTACAGTAGGCTCTGGATAAAATACATTGACTGAGCCAGGCGGTGGTTATGCACACCTTTAATCCCAGCAGTTGGGAGGCAGAGCCAGATGGACCTCTGTGAGTTAGAGGCCAGCATGGTCTACAGAGCAAGTTCCAGGACAGCCAAGACTACACAGAGAAACTCTCTCTCGGTGGGGGGAGGTCCTGAAGAAGATCAGGCTGAGGAGGTATGCTGGGTTCAGAGGCAGAATGAATCAGGATTCTGGGCCAGCTGCCTCCAGACTAGAGCCAGGTGGTTCTGAGCAGCTCCTGAATACAGATTTTCCCATTGCTGTCCTCGGCGCTCCTGCCCCATGAACCATGTCAACCACGGCTGGGAGTGCAGACTGGAAGGAAGGGTTCTTCCCCCAAGCCAGTCCAGTTTGGGCCTCACATGGCTCATTAGTGGTCTAGGCCTGGAAGAGGTCAGCTCAGAACTCCAGAGCTGGGATTGGCAGGGAGAGGAACAGGGAGGCAGAGACGTTACAGAGGACATGTTGAGAGGTGGGCAGTGTAACACAGAAGTGATGTCGTCCTCCCTGCTTCAAATCTAGCCTTGCTTCCTGGAGGGCTTTGGAAAAGCAGCCCAAGCTCTCTGTGCCTCACTTTTTCTTATCTGAAAAATGGGGCCACCAGCAAGGTAGACCTCTCAGAGTTGGGAACACATCGAGTAATGGAACAGGGGGAGACCTCCTACCTGCTCACTGGTCATCGTAGTAACAGTTTAGACTTAGAGAAGACACAGATGTCCCCATTTGGATTTTGGGCCAGTGACTGCACCTCTCTGAGCCATGGCTTCCTCATCTTCATGGTGGGTCTCGTGCTCCCCAGTACTGGAGATGGCGAGAAAGGCAGTGGCTGGCAGGAGCCCGGAACTGCTCAGAATGCTCCCCTGATGGGAACAGTGGTAGGCATGGGAGTTTGAAGGTGGCAGGTTGGAGATGGGGCTCAGCTAGCAGAGTGCTTGCCTGGCGTGCAAGAAGCCTGGGTTCCATCCCCAGCACTGCATAAAGAGAACACAGTGGCAAACACCTGTAATCCCAGCATGTGGGAGTCATCCTCAGCTGCACATCAGTTTGTGGCCAGCCTGGGCTACATGAAACCCTGCCTCAAAAAAAGTGGTAAACTCTTAGGTAGGCAGCTCCCATTGCACAGATGAGGAAACGAAGGCGTCACCCAGTAGAGAGTGTCCCAGTACAGGTTTTTCAGTAGCTGGTTTGAACCTGAGATTCTGCTTTGTTTGTTTTTGTTCCCAAGACAGGGTCTCACTACATAGCTCTGGCTGTCCTGTAACTCACTACATAGATCAGGCTGTCCTTGAACTTACAGAGACCTGCCTCCCAAATGCTGGGATTAAAAATGTGGGCCACCACCACTCATCCGATATTCTGATTTTCCTATTAGCTCCTAGGAGGTGTTGATCATGTGGGAACCACACTTGAGCAGCCAGGGGCTGTGAGCTACTGAAGGTGACAGGCTGCAGGCATCTCGCCTGTGGTTGAGCCCCACATGGCCCATTGGGAGCCCTGCACTTGTAACTGTGAACCTAACTGCTCGTCCCGTACCCTAACTTTCTCTCCCCTACAAACAGGCAGGAAGTCTTGCTCTGCCCCCGCACCCATTTCCTCTCGTTCCTTCCTCCTTCATGGTAACATCCGACCCAGGGTCTTCCCAGTGCGGCTGACTGGAGGTTCTCAGATTTTCATTAACAAGAAAGATAATTAAGGGCTTGCTGGAGCCCAGCTGGGCCTGCTATGGGCCAGTCTGGCCCTGTGCCCACTTCTCCAGTGTGCCAGAGGCATTGGGACAAGAAGGGGCTTGCTGGGCCTGGGAGTAGGGAGTCCTCAACTAGCCTCAGAGGAGACACCCTGCAACGGGGCCTCTCTGTAGAGCCAGCGGTTACCAGTCTGAGCCGGTTAGCTGTTTCCCAGGAGCAGTTCAGGCTTAAAAACAAAGTGAATATTACTTGGCCACAGGGGAGTTTCCTGATGGGTGAATGGGAACCACTGGTGAATTCTCCAGAATGAGTCTCTGTGGAATACAGAGAGCTTCCCCTTGCTCCAAGGAACACAGCTTCTCTCTCAGGGCTGATGGCTTTGCTGCTTTCTCTATGGCTGGTTCAAGCTCTTAGAGCCAGAGAGAAGGCTTGCCAGCCTATTTCGGGTGGCTGACACTCCTGAGCTAATGTGTTATTTTCTATGCATTTATGTCTCAGTTCCCTTTGACTTTATGAGCCTGATGTTGCTTTTGTTTTTGACACACTCTTTCCTTTTCTTTCTTTGTTTTCAAGACAGGGTTTCTCTGTGTAGCCCTGGGTATCCTGAAACTCACTCTGTAGACCAGGCTGGCCCCGAACTCACCGAGATCAGCTTGCCTTCTGCCTCCCAAGTGCTGGGATTAAAGACGTGTGCCATTACGCCTGGCTTTTCCTTTCTAAACAGGACTATTTAGGGCTAACAAACATCGAATGTTCAAACATGTATGAGTTACTTTCCCCCTCCCTGTTCAAGTGCTGGGATGACAGGCATGCACCACAGGGCCTCATTTCTGTGATGTCCAACATAGATGGAACCCAGGGGTTTGCACATGCTAGATGGGCCTCTGCTGACTGCTCTGCAGCCCCAGGCTATATTCCCTCATGTTTCTCATAAAGGATGCTAAGCCCTGCATTTGTCCTCCATAGGCCAGAGCCCTAGCTAATGGGGGCAGGAGGGCATTCGAGCCCACACCTGTCATCTTTGTACTTAGGAGACAGAGGCCAGTAGAATTGAGTATTCTGGACCATTCTAGACTCTGTCTAAAGGGAAAGAGGAGGAAAGAAAGGAAGGAGGGAGAGAAGGGAAGAACAGAAAAGAAAAGAAGACCTCCTCGTTCTTGGACAACAGAGGCGATGAACCCCAGGGTCCCTGGGCATGGTGGACTGCCATCCTCCAAGCATGGTAGCCATCACCATCTTTATCAGAGTAGGTTGTTACTATCCACAAGAGACCTTCAAGAAGGGGCCTGTGACCTTTTATAGATGGAAGGATCATTAGACTCTCATCTGAGGTCCCAGCCACTCTGTACTGCTCCTCCCTCCAGGCGTATGTTATTCTGCCCCGATTATTCCTGTATAGAAGATGGAAGATTGCCTCAAGGGGGATCCCAGCTGAGCAGCCACAGGAAAGCACATCCAGGCTGGCCTGAGACTTTTCTGTGATAAGTGTTTGGGGATCATGATCACCTACGCTTCTCCTCAGAAAGCTAAATAAACTCATTAGTTCATACCTGGAGGGAATCAGTCTATCCCGTGCTCTGTTCACACCACCATGGTATCGGCCTCCAGGTCTGGCAGGAGCTGTTTCCCAGGTCCACCTCAGGGCTTTTATCTAAGGCTGAGCCCAGCACAATGACCTCTTCACTGGATTGAAGCCTCCAGCAGAGAAGGGATGGAGAAGCCAGAGGTAGCCAGAGCTGGTGGACCACTGAAGACCCACAAAGGACTGGGAGCCGCAGAAGAACCCAGCATTGCCATTTCACTACCTTCTCCGAGCTGGAATTCCCTTATCTATAAAATGTAAATATCTGCCTTGGCTAAGATCTTTCCACATACTCTACACATGAACCTGGAGCAGCTATGTTGGGCTTGGCCACAGGAATTTTACACTCATGTGCTTTTTTAAAGTTTTAAATTTTTAATTTTTTTGAGACATGATCTCATGTAGCCAAAACTTGCCTTGAACTTCTAATCTTCCTGCCTCTATGTCCAGAGTGTTTTGATTATCAACATGTGCCAATATTTCTGGTGACATATGTGCTTACATCTTCCAAAGTGGCTCATTCATTGGGCTATGTGTGGGGCCTCAGATCTTTGCTGTGAACACCTACCTTAGGGCTGCTTCAGTGTCTTAACTACTTAGTGGTTGGCTTCCCTTGGGTAATTCCCAACAGAACACAAGGATACCTTGTGACCAAGTCCTTCATCTCCACCTCATTCTGTTCCTTAAAAGTGAGGAACCAAACCACACAGACAAAGGAAGGGT